ATATAAGTTAGCCCTACTATGCTTCAAAGGTCAAACTAACCAGTCTCCCACATACATTCAAGAACTCATTGTACCATACACACCATCACGTGAACTAAGATCCAGTGGCTCTAGGCTAATTTCAACACCTCGTGTGTCACTGAAGAAATATAATGAGAGAGCTTTTTCTTTTTCTGGGCCAACAGTTTGGAACACTCTCCCTCATGATTTGAGGAGTGAAATAAAACTTGATACCTTTATTATTATTATAATGTTTAATTTTTTAAAACCCCTATTAGGCCTATCACATCTTCCTAAAAGAAACTCCAGTGACCACCCAAACAATATTTTAAGCCACATTACCAACATCACCATCAAGTGCCATATCTGCGACAGACATGGGCAATCATAGGTCTCCATTCATGCTCGGATGCTACATAAAAAAAAAAAAAGAAAGAGGAGCAGAAGTTTTATTTCGCCCAGGAAGTTAGATCTAACTTGATACAAAATTTTTGATTTGTCTAAACCAGTAAACTATATTAAGAAGAAGAATGAGACTATTCGGTGCACCCCTTCAAACTTTGGCCAACAACATAGGCCTACTTGGTTTCCTTTTTCGAATTTTGACGTATTTTTGACGAATTTTGACGAATTTTGACGTACTATAATATTGAATGACCTCGACAGTGTACTTTCATCAATAAGTTAGCTGCTATAGTATGGTTGGAGAGAAGCACGTATACCCGTACCGGAGTGCTGGAAAAAGGGCAAGGTAAGCAAGTAAAACAAAAGAGGGTGAATAAAGAAAAAAAGTAGTAGCGCCCTCCAACCACCCACGTAAGTTAACTGACGATCTGCTTATGATAATATCGGCAGGATGTGAGTCGCGAAATGACGAGTGGACTGATGATTCAACACTTTATTTTAATTTAGATTACATATCTAAAGGTAAGAATAGGTTTCGAAATCACAGACACTGCTTGGACACACGCATTCTTTTCCGACACTTAATGTCGATGAGTCAAAAAGAGGCCCACTCGTAGAAAAATGGAAAGCGTATTCGAAGACCAGAAAGGCATTCATTCCCCAGTTTATGTGAAACGGAAGACTTTTGTCTATTAAAAAACAACAAAAACAGTATCGATCTTATCCCATGTCCTTTTACCATGATAGAAAGGTGAGTGAGTGAAGGATAACTACGCTCAATAATGAGATTCACAAGAACAAGGGAAGCAACTATGTCATACATAGATGCAAAGGGGTTATAGTTCCATGTTTTATGGGTGACTTCCCTTGGTTAATCATAGTTCGCCCCTTCCTTATGCAATGAAAGAAAACCAAAACGAATTATAACTTAAAATAAATTGTCAAAAAAAATCAAATAAATACAGATTAGAATATATATAAATATTTTATTGTCTGAATCAATATCTTTTACAATATTTTATTTTTAAAAAGTAACTTCGCCGCGAAACTGCTATTCATTCACTGCGTGGATACTTGGCTAGCTACGCCATGTAAATAAAACAATACGAAGGAATCAAGAGTCGGCATTTCGAACATTGGATATCTATTTCTCTATTCACAATCATGCCGGGTGGGTATTCACTGTGATTAAGTTACATTCCAGTGAGCAAACTATTTTACGGGAATTGTTCAGACAAAGTATTTTTCTGATAGATTTCGTGACATTTACAAAATATCGACACGGATTATTGAGCGATCGATTGTGTCTTTTTGGGCTTGGGTTTGACTAGTATCTAGATCTAGATCTAGATCTAGAATCTTAGTTTGAGTCTATTTGAAGACCGAGAGGATTAATTTGGCTTAGCCTAAGCCGTAGTAAAGCCTAAGCCATCATCTGTGGAGTAAATAACAAACACAAACAATGCCCATGACATGTTCATTTTCTGCATGTAATTATTCCGCAGCAGCCTCCTCTGATCCCACCAATTACCAAACAATCCACGATGCTGTTCGGAATTGTGATGTTTTGCATCTCGAGGTTATGGTGAAGAACGGAGCAAGTGTAAATGAAGTGGAACCCAAAGACAAATTCACACCCTTGCATTCAGCATGCAATGTTGGAGCTTTGGAGGTAAGTTTATAAGATATATTAGACCTATTTCTTTGAAACAAACAAATCAGATACAGACAGGCATTACTTACATGTTCATTCTTTTCGTTTAATTCTGACTTAAAAGAATTTTTTTTTAACACTGAGCTGTAACAAGGCTTCACGTTTGCACATCTAAGTGCACTTCCGCAATTATCTTGACTTTTGCTTGACCAACATAAGAATATGCGCATTTTTTTGTTCTGCCATTTTATTTGCATTGGCTCACACATGTCCAAATGCATAAAAAGATTAAAGACCCATATATAGTACCTTGATTGGGAGGATACTTAATGACCCTTGGATATGTTTCCAGCATCACTCCTCGCTATACTGCCTGACGCATGAGCTGTTGATGGCAAGTAGTGTGTTTCATAACATCACTGAATATTGAGCTTTCTTTCTCAATTCAATCTACTCTTTCATCTATTCTGTGTGGCTGTTTTGCAGATTAAGCTAGCTGACAATGTCAAAGAGAAAGCACAATGCATGCAGTGCTGTAGCTTAGGTTGCAGTTACTGGAAATGGTAGCTAATATGATGAGAAAAAACTTTCAAAGTTCAAATTTTTTGCAAATATAGTGTTCCCAACTTACACCCTGTAGACCATCATCTCTTGAGCAGTTCTTGCTAAATTGAAAAAAAATTTGGTGGTCCCGCAGATTTTGGTATAAATCGACTCCACTTCACTGTATCAAATATTGTTGACCAACCATCTCATGTCTACACCAGGGTTGAAGTTGAATGGACAAAGCTAAAATGTTTATGTTTTCACAAGTAAGAAACAGACTCTCTTATACTTTGTAAATACAGTCAAACCTGCTCTAATGGCCACCTGTACAAGACAACTGTACAAATGGCCATTTCCCATTTACGCCAATAATGGCACTGTGTAATATCGTCACCTGTCTAAGGTGACCAATTTTCTCCTCGACAATGGAATGCCGTCTAAGACAATTTCGACTGTACTTTTTAAAAAATATAAAAAATTGGAAGGGGCTGGAATACTATATTATGTCAGTATAGCCTTCAAGGTTCGGTTATCAAATGTGTATTTCATTTATTCTCAGTGTGTGCATTGGTTGCTATGGCATGGAGCTGACCCCACCGTGACCACTCCACGTGGCTGGACCCCAGCACACATTGCCGCAATACGCGGATTTGAAAACTGTGTAGAGGTATGATGATATGTCTTACCTTTTTGTACCACTTTTCTGTTTATCTTTTGTATTGCTTCAAGAAAAAATGTCTCTTTGTAGTTGTTGTTGGTGGTCAGCGTTCTGTTTAGCTGAACCCTTAATGTGGCTGTGGTATTTTGGGGTTGCTGTTTTTTTGCACAATGTGCAGTGCAAACCAACCCCCCCACCCCATCACACACACACACACACTTGCATATCCCTCTAGCCCCTTATTATTAACTTTCTGCATCTAGTGATGCAAACTCGTTTACAGACAAAACAAAGAAATAATTGCCTATTCGTCTAGGTGCTGGCTGACCAACATAACAGGGTTATAACCCTATTTTAAATTAAAAACAGGTAAAAAAAGATGTAATGTTTAACTGAAACAAAAAGAAAAGCAAGTCTAGAAGAGTGTCAATTTCACACAAAAATTAAAACAACGGTAGTTACACAAAAACAAAGACAATCGCAGTTTTTCTCTTCAAACAGGCTCTCACCAACAATGGAGTGAGTTTGTCAGCGCGAGACATCCGGGGACAGACTCCGCTACATCTGGCCTCTGCCCATGGTCACTCCTTCTGTCTGAACACCATCCTTAGGTCTGGGGCGGTAAGTCTATTACAGCTACCTGTATATATGTTGTAGTGTGACTCTTGTATGTGTGTGTGTGCATGTGTGTGTCTGTGTGTGTGTATGTGTATGTCTGTGTGTATGTGTGTGTGTATGCATGCATGCATGTTTGTGTGTTTGCAGACATTGTGTGCCTGTGTGTATGGATGTGTATTTGAGAGAAAAGGAAAGGGAAAGAGAGAGTTTATATGTGTATGAGTAAGTGGGATAGATATCGTCGCTGCAGGATTCTAAACAGGTGATTCCCAAAATTCGGATTGTGTTTTTTTTCCCCAGAATTCTGACTGACATCACACCACAGATCCTGTATATATAACTTTCAGCCAGATTAATTTATCCAAATAGTTGCTTCAACATTGGATTCTAAACCGCTAAATTGTGTATAATAGCCTTGCTTTTTCACTTTCCTGTAAAATTTACGGAAACTGAGTTTGCCATTCAGATTCCTGCAGTGACGATATGTGTGTTCATATTGTATTTTGACATTTGAGAGGATTATTTCTATTTTACCTGGTAGCCAAATTTTGTCACTGGATTGGTATCCTTTGGTAAAGGGAATAGAAAAAACCTGTGTTAAATCTCTCTTTTATTGCATCCTACAATTTGAAATTCGTCAACCCAAGCGTTTTCGTGAAAATAATTTCCTGTTTGACTTGTGACTGATAGGACGTGACCTGTGTGGACAACCTGGGCTGGACGTCGGTACATTCCGCGGCGTACCACGGCAGGATGGGATGTATACAGCTGCTTCTTAAGTGGGGCGGTGTGCCAGATGAGGTGGACAACAATGGAAACATACCCGGTGAGTGCTGATGATGTGACCATAGTGCTAGGTTGTTGCCGTGGTCACTGAATGATTTCTTAATGTTTTGGGTTTTTTTAAATATCTTTTTCTGAGTACCCTTGCTAGAGCTCAGGGGGTAACTCACCTTAAGATCTTCATTTCATAGGCCTAGTGCAGTTGATTTTTACATACATGGCCATTTCATCTACATAGAGAGAGAAGGGTCATCTCTGACAAGCAGCCTCAGATCAATTTTTAAGGTACCCTCAATATTTATACTGACTAGAGAGGTTTTAGCTTTGGGTAGCAATATATTTTTCATTTTGCCTGGGTGGCAGCCTGGAGGGCCAATTCTTTTCAGTTATAGAACAGCCAAAGGATCTTTGTCATGTGAAATTTCCATAGTGCACAGCCAAAATTTGACATTGTTATCATCTCTAGAATTAGGGGGTGTAGAAAATAAAAAAGAGGAAAAAACCTGATGCTGGCAGGATTGAACTTTGGAATTCAGGATTGGCTTGCAAACACCATACTACTGAACAACTGTCCCTTCTTTAACAACAACAAAATTCTGAATATCACTCTGAAGACTTTATGCTGAAGCTTGCTATGTAAAACCTCATCTCTGCAATTTTATTTAAACCATTGGTAATTATGTATCCTTTGTATTTTAGCATGTTTTACCTTAAATTCTGATGTGGAGGATATTTCTTTTGCTCTCTCCCTATCTCTACCTATCTTATTCTCATTTCTCTCTCTCTCTCTCTCTCTCTCTCT